TTTTACATTATACTAAATCAGCAGGTGTCCTAATACTTTTGTAGAGAGATGTACGTCTTCTGACTCAAACGAGCAAGAACAGAATTGCTCTTTTCGTGTGTACGATTAATTTAGAAGCAATCTTAAATAGAATAATAATAATAAAAAATAATAATAAAATAACCTTGAAATGTTTATAGACATACTGTTTATTAATATCGTTAAGAATCTACAACTTCATACGAATATAATACTAGTTTCTTCAAGATAAAAGTTTGTTTACAAGGACTTTCTCCTGTTTTCATATTTGTAATCAGTCAATTTTATTAATCGGAACGTTCCAAAGATCAATTCTGAAGCTATACAAATTTTAGTTTCTGGACACGTAAGATTAGAGGAAGCTCGTATCCTTTGAAATTAAATGATCAATTGATACAAGATATGTGTACGAATGCTCTTATTTACAGTAGACATTTTTTGTTTAACCGCAGTGTCCTCGGTGATGTCCTTGTCAGCCAGTGGTCTTTACAAAGGATATGATCGAGCGTTCTGTGTCCGGATGAAGTCTACGTTAACGAAACGGGGGTGCCATTTTAAATCTTCTGGATATAGGGTAAGCTGGCTCAAAGTCGACTGCTCGTACAATTCTAATCTTTCTCAAAAATTTTGTTGAATTGTGGCAAATTGTGATTTTGAATTTGGTAGTCTTCTTTTTGTGGCTTCCATTTGTTCACCACTTTCCAGATTTGGAATTAAAAGATTATTCCGGTGCTTAAACTTAATGCTTGAATTCTTTGCCGGAATGTTTTACGATCATTCCTTTAAGTATGGTCACGAGAAACTTTCCATATCGATCTTTAAAATGGAGCTACATTCTGATACGAATTTTTCTCCGCGAACAAGACTTTTCGCAAATCAATCCTGTCCAATTAACGAAAGCCTGGTTCTTAATTGACTATTATACATTCAGGTCGTACTGTTACTGTGCCGTTTGAGACCACAGTATACGTTTAGCCATACAAGAAAGTCTGCGCCGCCATTGATGGGCATGGTTGGACTGGCAATCGCACTTCCTCCGCCGAGTGTGCATGAAATTCGTCTTGAAACCGACATGTTCGTCACTCGAATTAACTTCGATTTCCGGATAGCACATTGCGAGCCCAAGTGAGTATAACGATGACAATCTTGCCGGTTCTTTTACCTATAATGCCGATTAATAGATTATGGAAAATGTTTATGGAATTTCAAAATTATAGACTGATCAATAAAATAGGTCCAATTGATAAAATATATTTTCCTGATGATTTTTTAAAATATGCAGAGCAAAACTTTAACCCTTTGCACTCGAATGGCGACTCTGAGGCGCCACTAAAAATTGGTGTACCATTTTTCAAAATCATTCTAAGAGCATCGGACTCGTTTCTACTTGAAAAGAAACTATTAAAGTTGCATTGTACTTGTCAACAGGCTCAATATCATGTGCATAAGTCGCAATAAATTATATAAAATAGAACTAGTGTAGATCAGAAATCATGTTTTGGATTTCGAATTCGAATAGCTTCGACCGCAAAGGGTTAACTGAATCTCACGTATAAGGAGACATACGCATTGCAGTCTAATGATTAACAGTTATTGATTTCTCGCGATGAAATTGACATTTTCATCAAATAATTCTCTCTATTAATTCGCAGAGTGTCCGAATTATTAGATTACACTGCAGACGAATTAACAGGGAAGAATCTTTACACATTGTGCCATGGAGAAGATGCGAACCGTCTTCGGAAGTCGCACATCGATTGTAAGTATTTTACTCCGCAAGAAGAATGCTGTTTTAAACTATCATTTTGCACTTTGGGCGAATGAAAAATAATAATTCTAAATATTGCAAACTGCTGTTACTAATACAATAACTCAATAAAGCTTTTGGTCCTCCAGTTATTATTCAGTATATACTGCATGATTTTTATAAAAGGTATTTATTTTATTCTAGTAATCCACAAGGGACAGGTATTGACACATTACTACAGGCTGATGAACAAAAGCGGAGGATACACGTGGCTGCAAACCTGCGCCACCGTTGTATGCAACACGAAAAACGCGGAAGAGCAAAATATCATCTGTGTCAATTATGTCATAAGGTAATCGACCGATTCTTAATTCGATTACTTTTTCGTCGTTCCATTGCATCCTCGTGACAAAGAAAATTGTTGACAGAAGGAGAGCACAGTTGATCCCTTGCCGTACCATTTTTATCCTAGTTACAATGACTAGAAGTTTTTCGATTATAATAATTTCTTATAAAAAATAGAAAATTTGTATTTATCGTGCACCTACATTTTCTTGAATGCTCAAATATTGTGGAGAAAAGAACCGCGAATTTTATTTCAAATCTTAAAAGAACGGAATAATATTCATACTTAACAGGTTATTACTATAAATCTCGATTATGCGTTAGAATCGTTAAAGTATGGCAAGAGGTTAAACGTCTCCAGTAGCATCTTCTCTAATCTATCGTCTAAAATACTAGACAACATTTTTAGCAATCTGGAAGAGAGAGTTCTGTTTCGCGGAATCATTTACCGAAAACAAAACAATTATTAGCAGTTTTCTGTAAGACCGTAACGCGTCATTCTGCATTTTCAGTGGACGCGAATATGAGAATTTAATCATGGACTGTTGCCAATTGGAAGACGGTGTGATGGGTGTCAAGCGCGAGGACGCCGCTGGAAACGATCCAGAGAATGGATCTCCGGACGCCGACAGAGGAGGTATGTGTTTCAGAACTGAATATTTCGATAAGCCTTCCACAGTGACAAATTTCAAATGGCGCCGGAACCTTTGTCTAGACGTAGCGTCTCTATCGATTCGACACAAATCTAACAAATTTAAATTTTTAAATTATTGAATTATTATATTATTATTGATAATATTCTTCATATTTCTTTATCAAACAAATCTCTTACGTCCTTTAACACGATTATTATTTATTAAATTAGCTTTGCGAATCGCTCGTTGAATTGTGTTCGGACGTGGAATCATTTAAATTAAAATTTAATAAATTAACATTTACGAACTTCGTTAATCTTCACCTTGCATTAAAAATTTCATATGGTACACATGAGGTGTCATACACACCAGAAAATTAAAACGGCTGACATACTTATTATTTCGGGTCCGAAAAATTAGTAAATATTCTTCAGACATTCTGAAATAAGAATGAACAGCGTTTTTCTTCAAATCATCACTGCCACGTGGTAAAAAAAATATCGAAAGTTCATGTTCCGAGACTTGTTCATTGCTTTGAACGCGGCACAGAGTCCCCCTTCAGCTGACAAACTCAGTGGTAGGAGCACATGGCACTCGACCGATTGACCACGTTGTGTTTCGCGCCATTGTGTCTCATTGGTCGGTGTTTTTTATTAATAACTCGTCAACAAAGCCGCAGATTGCATTTTCGCACAGGAAAAAGTTACTTTAAATGACCTCAGCTACCCCTCATTTTCGGCTGTTAAAATAATTGTGGAACAGCCTGTATATAAACACGAGATTATTCCAAAAACGACGTCGCCCAAAGATTGCCCGAAACGTTAGCTCGGTCGTGCCGATTCGAACGATTCGCAATTACTCTATAATATTTATGGACCAATGCGTGTCGTTCCAGAAGGCAGAGGACGCGGCGGACCGCCGAACCAGCACCAAGAACACTCGCACAGGTCTCCGCCGGAGGACCGCGACGAGAACCGAGGTTCCGAGAACGACAAACGCGGCAGCAGGCACCACGACATGGCGCAGCTGCAACAGGACTCCCAAACCAGCGTAGGGAACATCAACACCCTGGTGGTGAAACTGCGCGGTCACAAGCGGAAGTTGCACGAGGACGACAGCAGCTCGAACGAGGAGGAAGAGGACGAGGAGGAGTCGACGACGAAGGTGGCAAGCAACGAGAGAAACCACGCTCTCAGCCCGGCTCCCTCGAACCACTCGATCTCTGGCGGCGATCAGGCGCTCTGTTCGTCCAGCCCGAAGTCGAGACGCGTGGAGGACAGAGCGACCACCGCGGACAGCACCGGCACCTCGGTGAAGGACCTCGAGCAAGCGATGTCCAAGCATCTTCCAGTGACAAACCTGAACAAGGCCCACTCGCCGACGCTCCATCAGCCGACGGACTTCAGCACGGACGCGCTGCTGAAGCAGCAGCAGCAGAGGAGCACGATACAGTGGATCGGCGCGCACCATCATTTGGGACACCTGAGTCCCCAGCAATCAGCCACTGCCCCGTTGCCAGCCTCGGCCTTGCTGCGACAACTGTACGCCAATAGGGAGAGCGTGATACGCGCGAACGTCCACGGAATCACTTCGAGCGGCAGCACTCGGACCCCTTCGTCGGGTGGAACTTACTATACCGGGGATGCAACCCCCAGCGGACCTCTGCCCACTCCGCCGGGCTCGGAAGGGTCCAGCACCTACGGCGAACACCAGTTCGTCCTGGGCACGCACAATCAGAAAGGCGCAACCGGGACGAGTTGCGCCGACGCCTTCACCAGTTTGGTGTCCTCCTATTCCACAGCGAGCGGTTACACGGTCGACTATCATTCCGCCATGACACCGCCGTCCTCCGTGTCGCCCCGGGACAAGCAGCAGCAACAACAACAGCAGCAACAGCTTCATCCCGTGAACGTGATCAGCAATTACGAAGGGTCTTCCGCTTACACCGATCCGGTGCTACGCCATCAGTACGAGCCGACGCAACCTTTGCCCCTGAAGCCGCAAGTGTACTCGGCCGCAGTTCATCCGAGCGCGTTGGACGCTGCCGCGGCGTACGCCTCCGCGGGGCTCACCGAGCAGACGCAGTTCTATCATCATCCAGCGGCCGGCGCCGGCTTCCACATCTACCATCCGACTAACAAATCGACGACGAACGGCTGGTACAGTTCGACGTCCTAGTGGCGTAGTCCCGTGCGCGACACTCGTGTACTTAAGTAACTGAAATCGAGCCCAAAGCCCTCACATGCATATCAGTGATATCGTATTCACCTCGACGTCTCTGTAACCATCTCCCATTGTGTTCCCTTTGTACGTTTTTTCTTTTCAGAATTTCTCTTTCCTGTCCGCGTGTCGTTCGCGAACGGTGGGGGTTCGCAAGTGACGAATAAAATGCGTGCGATGTAACACGTGCGTACTAATTTTGTTGGCGCGATTACGTTCGTTTCGTCAGGATGATGGTTGCCAGGATTCTGTTCTGCGAGAGTTTCTGTATCCTCTGCAAACGAGATTGAAGGTATTAACGAGGCACACCAATTTGTAGGTACTGTACGATACGTAAAGTGGCATCTTAGGGTGTGCCGATACCGAGGGAATGTAAAGTATCTTTGACCCTTAGCGCGATCATGCTGTGCGTTGAATCTCAATTAACCCCTTGCTGTACAATTTTCTTCGTTGTTGCAACGATCAGAAGTTTTTCGATTGTAATAATTTCTAACAAGAAAAAGAAAACGATTTATATTTATTGCGTGTCTGAAATACATTTACTGAAATGTTTAAACATCGATTACAAGAAGTCGGGATTTTGTTTAAACTGAAAAGAACGGAACAGTATTCATACTGGACAAGTTGTTGCTAGAAGTTTTTCAGAAGTTTCTCGATTGTAATAATTTCTAAGAAGAAAAAGAAAACGATTTATATTTATTGCGTGTCTGGAATGCATTTACTGGAATGTCTAAACATCGATAACAAGAAGTCGGGATTTTATTTAAACTGAAAAGAACGGAATAGCATTCATACTGGACAAATTGTTGCTAGAAGTTTTTCAGAAGTTTCTCGGTTGTAATAATTTCTAAGAAGAAAAAGAAAACGATTTATATTTATTGCGTGTCTGGAATGCATTTACTGGAATGTCTAAACATCGATAACAAGAAGTCGGGATTTTATTTAAACTGAAAAGAACGGAATAGCATTCATACTGGACAAATTGTTGCTAGAAGTTTTTCAGAAGTTTCTCGGTTGTAATAATTTCTAAGAAGAAAAAGAAAACGATTTATATTTATTGCGTGTCTGAAATGCATTTACTGGAATGTTTAAACATCGATGACAAGAAGTCGGGATTTTATTTAGACTGAAAAGAACGGAACAGCATTCATACTGGACAAGTTGTTGCTAGAAATCTCCATCGCGTGACAGACTCGTCAAAGTATGCCAAGGGGTTAATGTCGCACTGTGGTACTTTCTCCCAAAATGTTGACTACAGTTCATAACTTCGTACGTTTTTTTAAGAATAACGATACTCTTACGTTCTCGAGATTACTGCATTGGAATACATTTAGAGGGAAGTGGAAACCTTACGTTTCATATGATATATTTCAACGGTAAAATATTCTACAAACGCTATATCCAAGCATTCTCTTTCGAGAATTACAACTTTGGTCAACTTTTTAGGAAAAAGTAAGACCGCGTGTCGTAACGCGTTTTCGTCCCGAAATTAGCGTTCAATGTCCAACCTTGTCTTTGTTGTTAGCCCCTTCTATTTTAAGCCTAATTCCGGCGAAAACGCGCTCGTCTAAATTGTGATCTCCCCTCGTCCGACACATGTTCATTTTCTCCCCTCACCCGTCCCCCGAATCTCCAGCCCTTCACCCCATCTTTTCTTGTTCCTCTCGCTCCTCCATTTCTTCTTCATCGAACTCAGCGATTGTACGCGCGCATCCAATGTGCCAACCGGACTGTAAAGAGAAAAAGAAGAAGAAGAAACGAAACGAAGAAACACTAAAGAAATCGCTGCTCTCTATCTCGACTATGTAGAACGACTTATTGTAATATAACAAAATAAATTATTATGTATGTTGACAATTCGGAGATATTCGCGTGAACGTGAAGAGAGAAAGAGAGAGATAGGTGTTTACCGATGACCGCCGTGCGTGTTCGAAACGAAGAAAAGCGACGGAACGACGTCGACGAAGACGACGACGACGACGACGACGATGACGATGTGTGACGCTCAATGAGGATGAAACGTTGAAACGAGGATAACTATTTAGTATAGTTGCGGCTCGCGTGGCGTGGGTCAGTCACGCGGCATGGGGTAACGAAGGGGGAAAATAAAACAGGCAGACATACACACACGTACTCGCACACGCACACACGCGCACACACTGAAGAGAACAAAAGACATTTTATCAGCGTTATTGCTGAACCAGCGTGGTTGTTTAGCGATAATTACTCGAGAAGCCGTACTTGTCGTAATTTTTTATACTGTAACATTTTGTTGCGTGGAATACGGAATGACTTTAGTGAAGTCGACAGTGCAATCGTTACGAGTTTTATGCGTTAATTTAAGAGGATCGAATTAGAGATAACAGGCAAAAAAATGACGATGTTTATCTTGCTTTATAATGAGGATGAGAGAGTGAGAGGGAGAGAGTGAGTGAGTGTGTGTGAGAAAAAGAGAAAAAGAAAGAAAGAAAGAAAGACGAGAAGCGGACGTTTCTCGACGCGAGAATATGTAACATTATCGAAAGAAATCGCTATCTCTACTAGTATTGAAGTACGTTGTTTGGACTTGTTAACTTATTTCGCCGCTTATCATTTCGCGTGCCGATCGTTGCTCGTTGATAACTCTCTGTTTTCTTGAGAATCGGTATATCGTTTGCTCTCAGTGTCCATACATATCAGGCAGTTTCATTTGGTGACAAATGATATCACTACCTCACGGAGTAAATTAACTTGCAATGATCAACGGACCCACACGGGAATACCCTCGGCCTCTTATCTCGCAACGTGCAATCGCTTTAGAAAGTAAATTCTCCATTTTGTTTAGATTAGACGAGCGGATAGGCAGCTTTTTTTTAAGGAGACTGTTAGGAGGAGGAGTAGTAATAATCATTGACAGAGATAGCGAGTTCTTTCAAAGAGATTATTATGTTTTGTTGTAAATTGATGAATTGTTTTTTGACGAGTACACGTGTAAATACAATTTATGTGCTGTAAGATCCACCTGTTGAATATTTCTATTCATAATTTTTCGGAAGTTTCTACGAAGTTTATTTTCGTTGAAAGGACATTGTAAGGCAGTGACTTAAACACTAAAATATACGCATAACGTCTTCGTCTTGATAAAGAAAAAAAAAAAAGAAAAGAAGAAAAAGAAACGAAAAACTTTGTGATTCCTGCAATTCACCCTGGACAGTTCGTTGCAGTCACTCAGTTTTATTTAAATAGCGATCGGGTACGCGTTCGTATCTTCTTACAATAGCGAATACCACCACGTAAAATATATCGGTAGACATTGTAAAAGTCAAAAGATATTTTTCAAATACGAAATATACGAAAGATCGATTTTTATTTTGCTTAATGTATACTGTATTTCTGTTTTAGCGATTGCAATTAATCGCGTCGTTTGGACCGGTATCAACAATTTTCTAATAATAGATTCCGAAGTACTTCACAGATTAGATGAAAATCAGCATTTGCCAAATAGCGATGTTCCGCCTATAAATACGTTTGTAAAAAAAGAATGCACGTACGAAACAGTCCCCGCGCAGGAACGGCCGATAATTATTGCACGAGTTCATGAGATTCTAAAAACCGTCAGACGCGGTGCATGCAGACATTTGCCTTACAAAATTGTTCTTCGAAACCATGTACATAAAAAAATGAGTTCAGGTGTAACGATTACAAGACTGATTATGAAATCTGCTTCTTCTACTCTATTGTTCGAGCGAAGAATGAACTCGGATCAAGGTACATAGATATACCCCATAGATGTTCACATCCCATTATTCTTCATTTAAAAGACCATGATGTAATGTAAAAAAAATAAAAGAATACACCTGAATCTTTGAAAAAAAAACTGGCGGATTTTTAACCATTTTATTGCTCTAGTATTTTCTCACTTTCGATCTGACTATACGTAGATCGTTCACAAATTAATGAAATTTTCATAAAACATGTTAAGTCGTTGAATAAACGGAAGAGAAAATAATACACACTTTTCAAATAGAACCAGTTTTTTTTAATAAAATGACGTTCATACAATTAGATCGAGTGATTTTTGCTATTTATGATAAACTAACATGCAAATAATAATTATAATATAATAAATAATAGATATAAATAATAATAATAATATATAATAATAATAATAATAATAATAATAATATAAATAATATAATAAATATAATTTGACGATTTATAGTCTAATACAGACTATACGTTTCGACACAATGCAGGGTCACCAAAAAGAGAAAATAACGACGTACAAAAGTAAAACGTGGACACAGAACTGTTCACGGTAATCTGCTGCATTGATGTTATATAAACAAAAACAAACGACAATATGTTGAAACAATTAATTGCGTTTTGAATTTTTATTATCTATCATGCTGATTAGTTATATTTTGCGATATCATCTGTTTTCTTACACTATATCGATACACCACACTCTCCAGAATAAATCTTCGATTTATTTTTTCCAGCGCCAATTAGTGTCGTGGCAAAATACTCAAACTATTAGTCAAAGTCGACTGTCGGTTATTTGGCTAGTAGTTTGAGCATTTTAACACCGAACTAATTGGCGCTGTACGAACCCCAAACGGAGCTTGGAAATTTCGCTACAAGAGAGTGTCACTTGTCACAAATGGCGCTATTTTTAAATTTTCAAAGATGAATTGATACACAAGCAAAGAAATATTAGAGAGCAGTGAAAGCAATTTCATTATTAGCACTTTTGAAATATTATTTTCAGTAACGCGTAATTTTATTTTACTGTTACTTGTAATAATTATTTGAGACAACTGTGGTATTCTTCTTGGAAATCATATATTGATCTCATTAATCAGAGCCTGATTTATACAAACATTTTCATTGACATTTCTGCAAGATAAAATGGCCGATCTCTGTATGTTAAATAATTATCCAATAATAAGAAAAGAGTTTTTCTCGAAGCAAATACATAACTGTAAAGACTTCTTAATTTATCATCAATTCGATCGTGCACCCGAAACAGCAAATTAAAAAGAACGGAGACATTTCATGAAAGATACTATACTTAAATTTCACGTAATTGCACAATATGTTACAATTCTATCGCGAGACGATTGACATTTCGTAAATATTAGGTTAGGTTACGCCGATGATAAGAAAATCCATGTTCATACCAATCGTAACCTCTTATTCGAGTTCGATGTTCGATATCTTGACCTCGAGTTAACTAGCTGAATCGTTATTGGAGCTCGTTGTTCCTCTTTGTTGGTTTGGTACTTTCCGCAGTTACGCGCCTATATAAGAGATGATGCGTCGAAATTCAAAAGCAGACCGCAAGTGTAACAAATTCGGAACGGCACGCAAGGAGGTTGTTCATCGCAACGAACGAACATTTATTCTTGGAGTGAATTAGGCTTGGAGACGAACCGAAATCATGATTTTACGATTCATGATATTCGTCGCTCTCGCGATCCTGGCTATCGAGGCGCACAACTATCCGCAAACTTTCGAGGAACACGAACAATGGAAAGAGTTCGAAGAATTCCTCAAATGGAAGAAAGCAAAGCAGTTGGGTGAAAACCATTGGCACGGAAAGAAATACAAGAAACATTACTCCGAGAGCCGTGAAATGGATAAAGTTTACGAAAGCAACGAGCAATCCAGCGCTGACCCACCGCCAGTCGATCAGGCTGCATTAATGGCAAGATACATTGTCAATCAAGCTGGTAAGTTATAATAAATTATGAATTAGCAATTGGAGTTGTCATTGGTATTACGTTCTTATCTGTATGAAAGCAATAATTGAAACACCTATAATTAAAGCAGTTCGAAAGTAAATCGCAGAAGATGAAAAGTTGTGGCCTGTTAATCGTATGTTTTTAAAATGTGAAAATTACTTAGTGAACGTAACGTGCATGAATTGCATGTTGCACGAATGCACACATACGTACGGATGTGAATACGCGTATCTGCAATGTGTTCGCTATCTACACGTTTCATGTACTTCAGGGCACTCTAAAATTAATATTGGATTCGTGAGCAAACTTTGGCATCGATCCAAATTTAAGTTAGAAACAACGTGTCCATCGTCAGTCTCGATTCCTTATTATATTTTTATATTCGGCTTAAAAAGCCTGCACAATCGTCTAAAAAGAGAATTGTTGCAAAGTAATTGTAACAGATCCTAACTTGATTAAAATGCTATCGTCTCGGACGAAACATAGATTAGCGATGTACATAGATATTATGATGTAATTATCATTTTAATATTCGAATAAAATCATGAAGTCGGATAATCGATCACAATGAATACGCATATTAAACCGACCTTTACGAAGTCGGTCATTTATCACACAAATCTAAATAGAAAAGCTCACTGTTGTATGTTTTAAAATTCATTCCTACGATGCGTATTCATTACGTTCACGTCGTGACCTAAACAGTTTTTCAAGATAAACGGTTGTTATACAGAAATGCGAATGATATGATATTTTATTTGAACAGCGTGTAGAAAAATGTATATATTTGTTCAAAAAATAAACATATTAAATTACCTTTACATTTTACATATTAAATCGACATACCCGTTACATACATACAATATACATATATATCGTATGCATGTGACTTAAATACCTTTGTATTACTTATCCGTATACATAATGTTCATACGTGTGGATATAACTTTGTAAATAGAGGAAAATTCGAATAATATTACGTACATAAAAATTTCAATTATTCTAAGCATTGCCAAGCATTTCAAGATTTTGATAACAATAAAATTAAAATAAGCGGTCGTTTTCAGTGTCGGCCAATTCGATCAACTTCTACTAAACTAGATAATTGAAGGAAAAATAGCAACATTTAATTGCAATTATCAATGTATTTAATTATCCAGATTGGGTGTCCGTGGCAACCATAAGCACACGGAAGGACATTGAAGGGTATCCTGCCGCAACCTTAGTCTCATATAGCGACGGTGATTTAGGAAGTGGATTAGGAATTCCATATCTTTACCTTACTCCTTTGGATTTCACAGCTCAAGATCTTGCAGTAAGTACTATTATATCCAAGCGTAATTCATACGTACGTTTATTAATCATCAAATTGTTATTGATATTATCTCTAATTGATAAGATAACGGCTGTTATTACCTATCAATAATGTTGTTGTTTTAATCGATGTTTAAACGTTGCTGTTGTCACGTACGATAAAAAATCACGTAATCGATTCTCTGATTAAATTTCTTTATTCTTTAGATTAGTATCGCAATCTGATAATAATTTTTTAATCATAGAAAGACAATCGCGTATCGATGATGATGACATTGGCCCAAGGAAGCTATTGTAAATCGAAGAACTGGGATCCCATGGATCCTCGTTGCGCCCGAATACTTATGAGCGGAAAAATCATAACGGTCAGTAAGCCGCAAGATATTTGTTACTATGATAAGTGAAGTGTTCCATTATTTTACGACTTTCTATTGTTTACAGTTGAATAATGACACCACCGAGCATGATTTAGCTAAACGAGTTTTCTTCGACCGTCATCCAACATTGGTCAACATGCCGCCAAGTAAAAATCTATTTTATAGTTAACATGATTTAATTACTTGTAACATAAAAATTCTAATATTTGAGTGATTTTATAAAAATTGTTCAAATTAACAATTTCAGATCACCGCTTCTATTTCGCCAAACTGAAAATAGCGACGATCGCAGTTCTGGATACATTTGGCGGGCCTAAATACGTCAATGTGAAAGACTACTTGAATCCACCGGTTAATAACATTACAGAAGAATTTAACAGACGTTTCCCTTTGAGATCTAGTGAAAATGATTCGCGGCAAGATTACGCGCCAGTTTCTAATGATTTAGATCCTATAGTCCGCGCTGTATAACATAAAATCGCAAAATACTAATTTATACATTGTTGGATGCGCAAGAAAACATGAAACATTCTAATGAGATTACGATTTTATACATTTTTTAATGTCTGAAACTTTTTTGTGATTCTCCATACAATTATTGATCTAATCATTGTATAGGAAAAAATATATAATAAATTTAAGAGTTTATTTTTTCGATTTCGTAGGTCGTCAAATTTCATTTTTCATTTTGAAAACATCCTGTTTTGAAAGACGACTGTCCTTATTTTTTTTATTACACAATTCTTACACTGTTTACAGTGTCATTTCATTTTTGCGTTTACGCTGTTTGACTCACAATCAAATATGACCAAATACGATTCAACAATTTAATTGTGCCAATTTTATACTATTATCTATAATGTCGTGCAATTGTTGTGAGTTTATAAATGTATTTCCTGCGGATATGATAGCAACAATTGTATCTCATCAAGGAAATGATA